TCTATGTGAGTTGTATCTGATGCTGGACAATACTAATCCACATTAGCATGATGTTATTTTTTCTTCATTGGTCCGGGTTGTAATGGTTGCCCCTTGTCTTTGCCACGAAGTTTAATACCTGTTAGAATAAATGAAAAGTATGTCACTCAAAATCTCTGTGCCACTGGAATTTGATTCTGTACAGATAAACGAAAATATCTCAAATCTTGTCAAATCTGGATACATGCAGGATGGATGGATGCATTGAGGAGAATCAATAATTTTGTAGCACTTTTGTTCACACAAGGACTGAGAAACGGAAGCGATTACTGTATCGGTATGTAAAAAAACAGTACATACTACACATAATGTATTCATTTATCTTGATTTTCATGGTTACTATTTCTGGTTCTCTCTCAAGAAAGTCATGTGTGTCAGTTGCATGACATTTATTCCTCACGCAGATTAAACACACTGACAGAAAACCAATTACTTTTTCAAGTCTCAGTGAAATGTTGGATGTGAGGATAGAAACCAAAACCTCTGTGGCTGGGCAGACACACTAACTACTGCACCACATCCAATTTTCTTACAGCTTAAGAGCTCAGCATAATTTAGCAAAGATACAACTGATTAGTGATTGAACATTCATCCAAAAAGCCTGTAGTGTTGATATTTAAAGGTGATTGGCATTGAGACTGCTGTGTTCATTGGCCCTATACTCACCCAATGCTCTCTCTAGTTTCGCCAAGACTTGATTATTAGGAATGGCTCTTCCACATTCATAATCCTGAATCACCTGGGTTTTTCATTGACCTTCTGAATAATGAAAAAAAACAAAAAAAAACATTTTATCTTCAAAATGCTTTCAAAAAACTACATTTTCATACTTGGGTAAGAAAAAACAATAAAGGGTCACTGAACACGTTTCTATAGAAATGTGTCCATATCTTATCTCCATATAGCATTATATTTCATTTTGAAAAATTTTCAATGCAAACTAGTCACCAGAGTAGGGCCTAAAAGTTGTGATGGAAATCTTAAAATCATTGTTACCATAGAAACATGCTTGACCCCTTCTTTCAGACAGCATATTACTTGTCACATAGGGCTTCTCACATTGTCTCACCTCACCTCAAATGTTCTAAAAAACTGAGTCTGTGTCAAGACTGTAAGTTAACTTGAAACATGAAAATTATTTACCGTAGCAAGCTCTTTTTGTGTCATTTCTTTGTTTTGACGTCCTTTCTGAACCAACCGGCCTACATCCAAACTGATACGCTCATCTGAGAAATATACAAAGTAGCAATAATTAATGTCATTCCAAAAAGTTGTACTTATCTAGCTACAAGATTGGTAATTTGCATACTAGGGTTCTCCACAGTTTGAAAATTAAACAGACGCACCAAGGGGGAAGAAGAAGTGGGCGTGGCACTTGACCTTTGACATGACATTTTGTAATGTGAATCATTGGCATGAATGTTGAAAGAATGGCAACCAAAAAATATATTGTACAAGTACATATGCATAATATACATGTATATACATTTATTATTTTACAATAGTTTCCATAAAGTAAACGTCACCACATACAATCAGAATTTTAGCTCTGTTATTCATCACGACTGTATCAGTTGTTTACCAATAATGATCCAGTCCAGAAAAAGGCAAACAAGTTTTGTTAATTTGTTTTATTTAAATAATGCATACATGCATTATTTAATTTTAAATTAGTGACAAAAATTGTGATTATATTTATTGGACGAAGCAATATAAAATTTATGTTGTTGCATAATTTATTGAAAAACTTGCTTGAATGTACGTCATCGGTACGAAAAAGCAAAATGACCAAACGAAACTAAATCTACGCACGAGAAGATTTTTGATCTGCAGTTAACAGTTTCTATCAAAAATACTAGCATTTTGTATAAAAAAATACATACTTAAAAATAATTATCATCCAAATCGAAGTTTGTTGACGTCTGCTACAATGAAAACAGCTATGACCCGGAAACAGTTTGTTTGACCGTGTGCACCCTGATACTATGTACATGTAACAATGCATTTGATTGGATAAAGCCACGTATTGATGCGAAATACAACCAATCAGAATATTTGTTCCAAAAAAGAACACAAGTAAATTTATTTGCTCCACTTATGATGTTTGTTGAAAGCATGATCAATTTACCTGGGTTTTTAAAACGCGATTTAAAGAAAATTCAACTATAAATGGTAAACAATTACGTGTTTAAGCAAGCATTCATATGGACTTCTTCAGCAGTGTCTGTGATGGTATGTCGACTGCGCTGGTCTTTGTTGTGCTCGTCAGTGATGTTGTTGCCGCTACAGGTCACGTGAAATTGGTTTTAACAATGGACCTCA